TTCTTTCGGTGTTGTGAGCGAGTTGGATGGTACTTTTTGTGTGTTTATGTTTCTTATGTCCGATACTATGTTTTCTATTTCTATTTGTTCTTGATTTGATATCTGTGCATTTATAAAATTTCCCTGAAAAAATTCACCGAATGCACTTCCCTTCTGTTCGTCTGTCGTGTAGATGTCGTTATTTTGTTTCAGTGTGGGAAGTTGCGAGTAAGGTTTCTTATACCTCCTCACAATTTTCCACACTGAATTGTCGCGTACATTGACTGATTCTAGAGTGCGTTGCCATTGAGCATTTCGATATTGATTGATTTCTCCGTTTATGTGTTTTCCGATGTCGGCTAATCTCACTCTATCCTCAGGCAATCTATGCGTCTGCCAGCGTCTCCTTACATAGTTCTTATTATTAATTAGGTCTAGTATCTCTTGTGGAAGATCGTCTTTGTATTGTTTGTGTGTTATGAGTTTTGTGGAGTTGTTTCTTGCAGTAATGATTGCTTGTGTAAGTTTTGTAAATTCTTCCTCGAGGGTTACTTTGTTTGTGATGTTATTATTAATGACTATGTGATTGTCAAGTGTTTGTCTGTACTTTGTCCAGTCCGTCGTGTTGTAGTCATGAAACTGACCCTGCCTTCTTGGAATCTGACGCGTAGTTCTGATTTCCAAGTAAACAGGGTCGTGGTCTGATGTAAGTGTCTTGATTGTTCTTATTTTGTCAATGTTTGGGATGTTTTTGGCAATGGCTATGTCTAATGTACTAGGTTGGTATCTGCTGGCAAAAGGAAAGTACGTAGGTTCCTCGGAGTGATGTATGATAACGTCATTGTCTTCGGCAAATTTCTCCAGGTTTCTACCACTTGTATTAGGTACTGTACAGTACGAATCCCAGTGTGGGTGCTTGCAATTTAGATCTCCCAGTATAAGGACTCTGTTACCCGATGTCATAATTGTATTGAATTCTATTTTTCGAAAAATATTACTAGGATTATGATAAACACCTGCAAAGATCATATTATCTATTTTTAGTAAGATGTGTTCCTGGCTGATATTAATTTGCGATAACCGCCTATGGTCAATCTTGTTGTTGATAATAAAAGCTATCCCTCCCCCTATTTGTAATCTATCCTGTCTTATGACATCATACCCTTGGATTTTGAGCACGTCCGTCGGTTTGTAGTGAGTCTCTGTAAGGAATATGATGTCGAAATTATATTTATGTATGAAATTGCGAACAAGTGCGGTTTTGTTGCGCATCCCATTTACATTGTAAAAACAAATTTTGAGTTTATGTTTGTCCTGTGAATGAAGTTCAGTTTCTTAAATTGTATTGACTGTCTACGTTTGACATGAACGCGTTATATGTCTCAATAATGTCTTGGCCGTTTTTACAAAGTTTTAACTGTGCGTTCAATGCCCTAATTGCCCTAGTTAACTCACCCAAATTAACTAACCTGTTAAGTTCTGATAATTCTCGATTTAAAGCGGTTATATCACTCATGGCCGCTCCAGGGATGTTTTGTTTGGGTGCATCATTTGTATTAATTTCTCTTCTTGGGTTTTCAATCGGTTTTCTGTTTGGCAAAGCAGGGAATTCATCATTTTGCCTGTTGTTCTGGTTCCTGACCTCCCATTGGTTTACCTTCGGCAGCGGGGCGGGTACTAATTTGCGTTGTGGGAGTGGCCTCCTGAGTTCCATTCTCTGAACTCTTTCTACGTAGCTCTTGCACTTTGTATAGTTCGCTGGGTGATCCCCACCACAATTAACACAGATGGCTGGAGTATCCCTGGTTTTACTGCAGGTCACATACTTAAATAGGTATACGGCGTAAAACCCTCTGCGCATCTTTACTGAGTGTTTAATAAAAGAAGATAGAAATGACCGCCATTTTTATATAAACAAACTGAAACTTATGCAACCAATTTATCTTTCCATCTGTCAAAAGTGTCAAATTTTAATGTGTTTGTGAATTTGGTTAAATTTTTTTGTGTTATTTTAGAATATTTTGATTGTGGATATTATTTTCTAAGTGTATAAACGTTTTATTTATTTTAACATTTGTGAATAGACTTTAATCCCAGTATAAGTTCTCTATACTGGGCTTTATTCAAGATGTCTTGTAAGATCTTGCAAGAACATAAGAAGACTGTTGCCAATAGATTCAAATGTTACATTCCACAAGTAATAAGATTTAGCAAAAATAAAGGATATGAAAGCAGTGTCTTTATATTATTTTAGGGTTCCAAAACAAGCAGATCGTTCCTTATTGTGGTTATCTGCCATATAGAGATTGGACAAAATTTCTTTTAAGTTGTTAGTACAATTCACTGCAGAATCAATAAGGACGACCCATTCACTAAAAATATGTAGCTTTTAGAAATTATACAAGAAGAAAGCAAATTGTTTAAAATAAAACAAATATGCAACCATCAATTTAATTTTAAAGTATCCTGGAAATTTTAATATTTTTAACTTCCTCTACTTTTGTCATTTAAAATTAGTATTTAGGTATTTAATCTATTATTTATCAGCCTAACATGTATTTTTAAATATTAAAATATTTTTATTTGTTTTAGAATAAAAATTTAATTCAAATATAATATTGTATTATTTCTTTTAAAAAATCTGTACAAAATTATGTATTTAAAAGTGGAAAGAGCTAGACATCTGCAACCAAGTTTTCATATTGCTGTATTTCTGGTCACCTATGTACTAGTAATCTTGTATAAAAATGGCCGCCCCTATGTTAAACAGGTCGGACGTCTCTCTTGCTCCGTATACCTATTATAAGTATGTGCTGCAGGTACGTGTGTGGTGATCACCCGCACACTTCACACATTTGGAAGGTTTTCCACAATTGGCCGTCGCGTGTCCCCACTGTTGGCAGTTGTGACACTGGATTATCAACTTGGTGGATTTTCGTAGTTCCCATACGACTCTCGTATATAAAACCCTTCTAGTATTTTTGTTCAAGTAATCCAGTGTCAGTGCAGGATCCGTGACGACCAAGAATAATGGTCGTTCTTTCGTGTTCATTTGGTAGATCTCCCTAGCGATAATCTCATGCTCCTCTTGTAAACTGTCTTTTATGTCCTGGATTTTTGTGCCTTCTGCCAAGCCACGTAGCACAAAAGCATGAGATTTATCGCTGTTTGAGGTGTATGTGTGGAATGCGATTTTTTCAGTTTTTATACTCCCTAATACTCTGTCGTAGTCCTCTTTCTGGTCCACGAAGAGAATTGTAGTGTAGTTTGTGTGTTTAACACTAAACTCTCCGCGGACCATGGCTTTTATGTCTTGAATAAGCCCCTTATGATTGGCAGTCTTGCCGTCTATCACTATCGGCGGCATAGTTGCTTTTTGTTTATTGGAGATGTTGTTTTTAACAGAATCTTTATTCGCCTCCTTCGGGACATTCTTAGGGTTGGTTTTGTCTATAGTGTTGTTCACTACTTTATTCGAGTGTGCCTCTTCACTGGTGACGTCACTTTCCTTGTAAGGAATGAATTTGGTGCCTTTATTCTTCCTTTTTTTAACAATCTTACCGATCTCGTCATCCATGTCCGATTCTGATTCATCGGTAAGAATATGATAGGTATTACTAGTCTGCGTAAGCGTTTTCTTCGATTTCTCCCTTACTAGCTTGTGAAAATTACTGCTGAATTTTTTAGGGAGGATAAATGGCTCATCAGCATCTTTGTTGAACTGTTCGTCATTTTTATGTTCTTCAACATATTTAGCTCTTTCTGCAGCATTTCTTATTTCAAATAAGCTGTTCGGCGAGTGAGGTAGGTTATCTAAATTGTTGTCATCCCTTCTTCTGCGAATGTTTGCCTCTTTATGTTCCTCTTCTGAGGTAACACTGTTAGAGTCATAATTTAAGATGTTTTTCTCAATGTTTTTTGGGATATCTCCTTTGTTGACATGTATCTTAATCCTCGGGTCACTGTTGATTCTCCTGATTGCACCAGTGTTTATTGGGGTTCTTATGGGTGGAATAGGAGTGACTGTCACTAGGGCTGGAGCTGCAGGCGAGTGCACAGGCGTGGAGCTACTCAATTCACCCTTTGTCTGTGCACTTCCAGCATCTCCACCTGTATTTATGTTCTTATTGTTTGTTGGATTATTACCTCCGAAGTCCAACGTCCTGACTAGCACGTAAGCTGGCAGAGGTAACGTTTTAAACTGAATTATGGGGGTGGGTTCTACCACATATTCAGAATTGAAGTCATTCATAGAAGTACCCTTGTTTTCTACTATTGTACTTTCATGTCCGGTGTCCATAGACTCTTGAGACTCATTGGAGGTGTTAATTGTCTCATCTGATTTCTCTAGCTCGTCAATTAAGCTTTCAGTTGTATTGTAGGCCACCATTTCCGGCTTATCTGCCGTGGGGCTTCCTGTTGGGCTTTCATAACAACTGTTACCTTCTGAGCCGGGTAACGATTGATTTCTCGAGGCTGTATCCCCGTCCTCAGGGGTCATATCCATGTTTTCGACTTCTAGAGACGGCCGTTCTATGTCTTCAGGGTCATTTGAAGGGCAAATTACTGAATTTTTGACCGGGGGGTACTCCTGGTCCTTCTCAATGACTTCAGGATTATTTATTATTTGGTTTAGTGTATCAGTACTCACAGTTTTGATGCTGAGCTTCCTCTTTGCTTTAAAGTTCTGGGGGGAATTCACATTTGCTATTTTAAGGACCTTCTCAGCATTCAGCCGGCATTTGTTCTTTATCCTTTTGGCGTATTGGGTTTCGAAACCCTTGGCGGGTGTTGTGTGGGGCCCAACGGGCTCGGACATAAACCGATTCCCTGTTCTAATAGGGTACTTACACTGGCGTTAAAAGAATATTTAGAAAAGAAAAGTAACGGGTAACAAAATTTATTATGACAACTGACAAGTGACGTTAGCAGAATCAAAAATACTACACTTTCTGTGTCGACTACTGCCCAGGAGAGTCCTAGGTAAACTGAATTTAGTTGCCATGAATTTTCGCACTGTGTGATGACGTCACCGTGCAGTCTTCCGTCCGACGAAAGTTTGTAGCTATTCATCGTAGTGATTTTACTATTCAGTGGGGTCTTCGCTGTTAAGGAGGATGTACGTCGGTTTTCTCATGTATCCTGTCTCGTATGTATGTTAGTGAGTGCATTTTGCGGATATTCATGCGCCTACTCACACCAATTTCCCAGAAGCTCACAGGAGTTCTGAGAAAAAGTGCTTCCGCAGTCGCATAAACATCCACAAAAGCATTTTACCATGTAATTAAACGAATGTTACTGTATTTTAAAATTGAATGATAGAGTTAATTTAAGAGTTTGAAATTGATGTCAACGTCCGTCATGAACGCGTTGTATGTCTCTATGATGTCTTTTCCCGTTTTACACTTTATTAGTCTGGCGTTCAGTTCTCTGACTGCTCTGGTTAATTCACCTATATTGATGAGTCTATTGAGGGTCTCAAATTCATTATTTAGGGCCGTAAAATCGTCCATGGCCACGCCTGGGGTTGATTGTTTTTGTATATCTGGTCTTCTGGGTGGGATTTTCACGTTTTCTGCCATTTCTCGTGCATATTTCGTTGGTAAAGCTGGAAATTCTGTATTTGGGTTTCGGTTCTTGTTTCTGGCCTCCCATTGGTTCAAGATCGGCTGGGGGGCGGGAACATATTTTTGATGCTGTTTAGGCCTTCTTTCGAGCATCCTCTCTAGTTTTTCGACATAATTAGGGCATTTCGAGTAGTTAGCGGGGTGATCACCCCCACAGTTTGCACACGTTGCCGGCGTTTCTGGAGTTTTTACGCAAGTTCTCGTGTGGTGATCACCCGCACACTTTAAACATCGCGCATTTCGGCCACAATTGGAGGTTGCGTGCCCCCACTGTTGGCAGTTGTGGCACTGTATGATGAGTTTCATGGATTTCCTCAACTCCCATGTCACTCTGGTATAGAGGACCCTTCGAGTGTTTTTGTTCAGGTATTCCAGCGTAATTACGGGGTCTGTAACCACTAGGAATAATGGTCTCTCTTTGGTTCGCATTTGATACACCGCACGCGGTTTTATCTCGTGCTCTTCTTCTAGGTTCTCCTCTATTTGTGCGATTTTGGTTCCTTCCGCAAGACCTCTAAGGACGAAGGCATGGGATTTGTCATCCCTTGAGGTATACGTATGGTATGGCATATTTTCGGACTTAATATTTTGTAGCACTCGTTGATGGTCCTCTTTATTCTCTACAAAGATGATAGTTGTGTAGTTGGTATGTTTTATGGAAAAGTCACCTTTGACTATGCCTTTGAGATCCTTGACTAGATTTGCCTGATTGGCCGTCTTGCCATCTATTACAATTGGGGGCATTGTACTTCTGTTAGTGCTCGGTCTATGTTGTGTTTTTTGCGCATTATTAGTTTTTGTTGCGTTCACATGTGTATTATCAATATTGCGAGTCGCTTGATTTTCAGTCATGTCAAGGGGTACGAATTTGGTCCCTTTTTTGCGCCTTTTCACAATCCTATCAATTTCATCTGCATCCGAATCAGATTCATCGGTGAGAGGTTGGAATTTATTATGCGTAGGGGTGAGGGTCTTTTTGGACTTCTCTCTTATGAGATTTTGAAAGTTACTGGCAAACTTTTTTGGTGTGGTAAATGGTAGTTCCTCACATCCTTTCGTTATTTCGGTTTCCATGTCCGTTTCCTGGTTTAATGCCGCTCTCTCAGTAGCTTTTCTGTGTTCAGACTGGCTATTAGGTGTATGAGGCAGGTAGCTGTACCTGTCATTCCTCTCCTTCCTTGTTTTGTCCTCCTCTTCAGAGGTATGTCTATTGGAGTCGAAGTTTAGGATATTATCCGCAATACTGGTGGGGATGTCATTTTTGTTTGCCTCTCTTCTTATGCGTGGGTCACTGTTGATCCTTGTTTTAGGGATAGCCCCCTTGGAGCTAGGTATTTGTGAGGCTGCGAGTGTGGACACAGACCCTAGAGAGAGGTTACTCAGTTCGCCCCTCTTTTGAGCGTTATCCACACTTACAGATATTTTTTCAGGGGGTTTTTGATTGGTGCTTGTGCTTTGTGTACCTGTGTTTACAAAGTTAAGGTTTCTTTTAACCACGTTTTCAGGAAACGGTAGAGTTTTGAAAATTATCTTTTTTGCCGCTTGTACGAATTCAGGCGAGCCAATTTTTGGGGGGGGGGTTGTCCAGATTCTAGCTCAGAGTTTGGTTCTGTATCCATTAAGGAGTCCGTACTTTCTACAGAGTCTCCTGATCTTTCTAATACATCTATTAGTTTTTGAGTTGTTATATCATAGTCTTTACCTTCTGCTAGCCTATCTTGACTCTCCTGACTGTCCTGAAATTCCAGTGACTCTTCTGAGTCAGCCGTGGACGGCTTGCGCGCCTGTGTACCACCTTCTATACTGATGTTTTGATCTACTGTGGTGTTGTTAAGTGTTTGGGGGTCGTCTGAAGGTGAAACTTTAGAAATTTTTGCCGGGGAGTCTTCCTGTTGCTTCTTTTCCTTATCAATTATAATTGGAGGACACAGTGAATCAAAAATGTTAGTACTCACATAGATTGATCCAGTTCTCTTAATTTTGGCTTTCGCAGTCTTCGGGGAATTCAATTTAAGTACTCTATCGTACTGTGATTGTGTGAATCTACATCTATTTTTGAGGCGTCTAGTATATTCGGTCTCAAAACCCTTGGAAATTGTGGGGGGCCCTGTGGGCTCCGACATTCACGGTGTAACCACCGATACTTTGTTTAATACTTAACCCTGGCGTAATTGTAAACTTAGATTTTGAAAAATTTTGTTTTGTTTGACAGCTGTCACTATTATCTTTAGCAAACGAACGTAGTCTTGGAGGCAAACGATACCTAGAAGAGTCCTTCATTTAATTCTTCTTTTTGCAAGTTTCCGTCCGACTGAAAGACGTCTTTGAGCTTTCACGTTAATATATAGATTTGGAAAGACGTCTTTAAGACGTCTTAAAAACGTCTTTGAGCTCTCACATTAATACGTCTGAATTATGGCTTTTAACAGACGTCTTATAAGACGTCTTAATAACGTCCTAGGACATTGAGACCAAACCAAGACACAAAAAAGACGTCTTTCAGACGTCGTGTGCTATCTGGGTTATTGTTAAATGTCATTTATAAGGAGTGTTGACGGTGCGATTTTTAACGTTTACTGACATGGGCGTAGAAAAAATGGATTTACCAAACATCTTAGCGAAAAATTATGTGATGTTATGTTAATGCATTAAATTTAGTTGTAATCGATTCCACAAATACTATTTTAAAAATATCTTTCCAGTTTTTTTTTTAATAAACGTAAACGAGCAAGGAACATTTTTCAAAGAATCTTACCAACGAATGGACATTTGCAGAGGGATTGAGGAGAAAACTAAATATAGGAAGTTTTACCTCATAGGTGATACTACCCAACAAACATTTTGGTTCGGGGAAATAATGTCCCAATAACTGTCTGCCTCCAATTATAATGATGGCCTAACTTTTTTCTTCAAAGGGATGGCATATATAGGTCACTACGGGCGACAGTCGGGTCACAATTACAGGGCTTTTAACATTACAGAGTCACTTTGTCATTATACATACAGTTAAAGGGCCTTAGATGGCTAACTGCAGGCCCAATATTTGCAATTTTTAATATTTAAGCAGTTTATTGGATAAAAAAGTCTAGTTTGAGGAAAACGATGTTTGAATTGCCGATATATTTTAATGATGATAATAATTAAATAAATCATTGAAACATTCGAAATTAAGAAATAAGATCTCCATTTTACTTTCAAAAAATTCAACTAAATATCAGGTTTTGACATGCTTTCAGGTTAATTATTTGGAATCTAATAGAAGGTACGTATATAATAATGATATAAATTTGTGTCAAAACATTTTTTTTTTTAAATAAACATTAAATATTATACTCAAATAAATGTTAATTTATTTATTTTTTGTCTTTTTTGTTCTCTACTTCCCGTGTGTTCACTTGCAGACTCGTCACTTGAGTGACAGTAAACTACACCTAAAAATCATGAAATTTATATACATATTTATGAAATTTCGATAAAACTAATTTGAACCATTGACAATATTAGTCTTTTCTGAAATCCAGGAAAATAAGACAATATACAGATTCGTCTTATATTTTTCTTGGTATAGAGCAAACCCATAAAGAGCAACAGAAAGAAGACTATTCATATGAAGCGAGAATAAGAGAGAGAAAGCAGAAGTAGGGCGTTGGCAATTCCACTATTCTCTCGGACGCCAAACGATCTCATGCGTTGACTCCGACATGCGAACCAAACAAATTTAGTCTAGACTATTTATTGATTACAGGGTGATTTAATAGATAGATTAATAGTTAATTTATCGAATGTGCCAAAAAGAAAAAGAGTCAGTTTTTCAATCACAGTTTAAACTTTCGTTCACGTGAATTTGGTTCAAATATAGAACCCATCAATAGCTTTTTTTCAATCATGTCAGTATCACATTTCAGGTGATCTAAGTTTAATTTATGGTAGTTCTGAATCGAGAGACTTCCGACAAAACTGAATGATCTATGTCAGTTTGACGTTTTTAACAGTGAAGATGAAAAATTGTAAAATGGAAATAATTATAAAAAATCTTTAAATTTAAGCTTGAGTACTTTAGAATCACCTTGTATAAATGACTTACATTAACTATAGCTTTACCATCCTTGATAATTAAAAGTCCTTATGGCAAAGAAAGCAATAAAAATTAGAGTATTTTTGTCTAAAGAAAGATTTTTGAAGAACCTTATTTTTTATTTATCACGCACGGCACTAATATGAAACTAATACAGGAGCTACTTAAAGGAAAGCTGTAACCAACGGTCCAAAAAAATTTAATTTTTACACGCTCCTACTTCCCAAATCCCGAATTAAAATTTTGTGAATTTTACATGGGTGCACACTTTGTAAAATGCCCTGTATAATATTGGCAAATGGCAAAATAAAGGCTTGGTTTCTAAGAGACCAAGAAAAAAGGTATCCAACTCATAGAAATAATATAGAAGACCAATATAAATATAACATCCAAGCAGAAATTGAAACCTACTGTGCATAAAAACGCGTCTCTGCGCCTGACATCTCTAAATAGTGTGTCTAGAAGCTTGCGCAGTTTGCATGACTTGTCCCTGTAGTGTTGCCAAGTATATTAAACATACCTAACACAAAAGAATTTTAAATTAATTTATTTTTAAATTACATGATTTAATCAGTTTATATCTACGAAATATCGCCCCAAAATAATTTATAAACATTTAAATAATCAACTATAATAGTAGTAATATTTATGTGTAATTACATTCCCAAAAATATATACAAATACGGTATTAATGTACAACAAGCGATTCACCTACAAATTCAATATTGACCTGGCAACACCACTTTAATCCCGTGTTTCAAGGCTCTATGACGGTGCCGTTACAGGACCGTTTGTGATATTTTGGCTTCAATTTGTATTTTATTATTTAATTACACGACATTTTATTTTTAGTTTCGTGTAGTGTTAAGTTAAATCCTAGGTACAATAAAAGACATTTTTACATTGGCTAATGAAAATGTAATCAATGTATTTAGCAGCTGTTATATTTATTACAAGATTTATGTCTAGAAATTCAAACCTACCTAAGAATTATAATTATGTAAATAGAGAGCTGTATATTTATATACAGGCTGTCCAGCGACGGGGAGACGTTATCGGTATCTGACAAAATAATGAATGATTTTTTGTTAAAAATAGTAAACAGGCTATGATCTTTCCATCTAAAATATTTTGACAGTTCTGTTATTTCCTTTTTATTTTAAATGAGATGCCACTTCTATTATTCCTGATAGCGATGGAACATGAAATGTTGCTTATTTGGAATATATACCTTTACACAACGCTCATGACGTCAGAGACAGTTTCAGTCGGGTATAATTTAAAATAAAGAATTTTAAAACGAATCGTATTAATTTGTACCTGTACCTAACATTTATGGCATCACTAGCCGAGTTGGCATCGGGTATATTTTCAAATGTAGAAACTGAAAATTAACCCTATTAAATTGTATACTTTTAAATGCGGGTTTCAAGGCATTTTAAAATATAAACTCGATCTCAACGAACTTAGAAACTTCTGTCACTCGATATTTTAATCGTTACTTCCTCTTCGCTTTTTGGCCGGCACAACAATTATTTACATTTCTTCATTCTTTACCGCGTGCGAACCAGTACGGTTTAAAGAAATTTTAAAAAACCTACTTTAAAAATGAAGATGTTAATGATTTTCTCATGGATCTCATCTTCAGATCCTGACTTAATTTATGTAGTATTATTCATTTTCTATCAAAAAGAGAATCATAGAAACCGGGCAACGTGGTAAAGAATTATCGCTCAACATACATAAAAAAATATTTCAACGAATTGAGAATATCCTCCCATTTTAAAGTATGTTAAAAAAAAAATGTTAATAAAGTGCAAAGTAGGGTGATAATATATATTATGAAGAATATAAAATGATAGATAAAGCCAGTGTAGAAAGTATTATAAATAAACTGTGGAAATATCGAGAATCTCGATTTTGAATCGGAAGAAGAGTATTCTATGCAATTTAGAATGAAAAATGATCAAAATGAAACAAATGAACGACATGCTAATGTTATTGACAACTTTCTTCAAACATTTTCTAGTTTTCCGAAAACTAACTGGATAGTTCGAAAATCATTTCCGCCGTTAAAGCGCCTCTTGTTCCGAAAAAGATACACGCCTGTCAACATTCATCGTTCAACAAAAAAAGTATTAGATACAAAACGCTTCGTATTGTAAGGCCAAAATATATTTGGAAATCAAAAAAGTCATATAAACAAAAAAATCATCATAGTGAGATAACTACCAAATTAATGATTTACAAGTTTATTCTTATTATCTATAAAATAGGTTTGCAATGTGCTGATGTGGAATGTTATCATCGACTAAAAACTTTAAATCTTTGTATTAAATTGATCGAAAACAATCCATAAATTGGTTTAGACTATACAGAATGTTTCTAATAAGCAGCGACTAACTTTTATTATGAAAACGAAAGACCCTTTTAAAAGGGTTTAAAATTAAAATAAAATATGTACCAAGTACCAAGTAAATGTAGTAGTATTTTTTAATTTTAAATCTTGAGAGATGCAGACATATTTGGATACTTTATATTGAAAATGGTAACATGAAAGGTTTTTTGTCTAATTGTAAGTAACGACTCACAGTCTTGGCTGACAAAATATAAAAAAATATCGAACATAATATTCCTGGGCGAAACGCACCTGCCCCCTATTTTGCACTACTCAAATTAAATTTACTTGTAGCAAATGATACTAAATCAAATAAGATGTCAAATCACAAGCAAAATCTCGTGACTGCAGCACTAATGATTTCTGTAAATTAACCAATTCATTTTTCATGCCATATTTTTCTTTCAAAAACATATTTATCCTACTTGAATTTTTTTCATCGTTTTTTATATAGAAGCATCTCTAAAAATGTATGAATAAAACATGGTTTGAACTATTTGTTCGATCAATAAAAAACTTGCACCGGTCCTGTTCGAGCCAGCACCGTTATACGCATGAGCTCCGACACACTATTTTCTCCTTAGGGTTTCAGTTTTGATATATGGAATCGGCTTTCTATACTATTTCTATGATCCAACTCCAAAACCCGCGGTGAAATACATGCATTTTTAACAAATATATGGCAGTGTAAAATTTAGGTTCATTTTTAATTATTCCATAAATAATAGAATAGAATCTTACAACTTTACAAATTACAGGTTTGAACC